CTCTCTGCTCGAGTGTCATTCCAGCATACCTTTCTCATTCATTTTCAACCACCTGTGTTGTTTAATTTATTCTTTATTTTTTTAATATATGTAATTGTCCTCTGGCTGCAGCAACCTACCACTTGAGTTTTGTGCAGTTCCCTCGATCGAGAACATGATCCAAGTCTTTCAAATCAAACACAGAAAACGAACCGTAATTTGTCTTGATTGCATCAGCAACAGCACAATGTTACAGTGTGCATGTCTTCAATTTCTGCCCTAATTTATCCTTTCTCAATCTCTCCCTTCATCACTTCCTCTTTTATCAAGCCCAGCTCTCGCTATATTCCCTATATTTTCTTAATATATACTGTATGTTCTGTACACAGTTACATTACAAGACTAAGAGAAAACAGCTTATTTTGCTATTGCTCTCGAAGGACATGTAACATGTCTTTCATCCCTCTGTTTACCCCTGCAATTGCTATGAGCTACTTTAATTGGAACTTTCAAGGAAATCACGTGTAATCCTCCTCTCCTTCCTACGCCGTTCCCACTCACTGTCTCCCCCTTTTGTCTCTCCCTCTTCCTTCTATGAATTCCACCCCCACTAATTCTTGCTATCCTCCTTCGCCTCTCCCTCCGCCCCTTCTCATCTCTCATCTCCCATCTCGCCATCCTTCTTTTTTATGCATCTTAATTTATTTTACTCCATCTGATTTTCCACTTTCCCCTCCTTACACACACTTTGTGCCACTTAGTTCGCCCTCCGTCCCTCTCAAGTTCTCTAAAGGGATAATTTTTCCATTAAGTCTATGAGGGGACAGTGGAGGATGCGCAACACACTGAAACACAACGCATTATTAATACACTCATTTATGAATGTGTGCATAAAAACACACACACATAACCAACCATGTGGAAGCATTAGAGTACACACAGTCCTGCACAGACAGCCATTAAGGAAATAAGTGCTCACCAGCTCATTAAACGGAACATGAAACACGTGCACACACACATAAATCCCCAACACAAAGAAGTATGAAATATTCTCAAAACACTTCTTTAAAAACATTACATAATACAAACTGCTGTCACCCTTTTGAGTCCTACACTCTTTCGAGTGTATGGAAAACTAAACAGCAGAATCCCGCTGAGGCATTACAGTTTATTGTTTACAGCTACAACAACACTGAGGCAGTGAGCCGCTCTGACCAGCAATACTGTATACAGATACACAACATGCAAAGCCCTGGGCCCAGCCTCACTGCTTGCATTTGCAGTAACAGGCTGCGCAAACCAACATTGAAACAGCTGGGTTTGTCTTTCTTTTTATTCTTCATTCACGACATTCAATCACTTTTCCCACCAATGAAAAAGCAAAGATAAAAATAAAAGTGTGGAGTGGATGGAGAGGCAAGTAAATGTTTCAGAAAATGTTGTTCTGATCAATCAATATCTCAGTCTCAATTTTTAGCATCTAACCTCCAATTTCCAGGTTTCAGATGGGGCTGTTTAGACTCTGTAGTTTTGTCCTTCATAAAGTATTGTGGCTGTGGTCAGCTTTGTATTTGTGTAAGTTTATAGGTTTAATAGATGCTGGGCATACAGATGGACAGCAAAGTGGTGGATTATGCTGCAAGTGTATTTGGACACCTTTTTTCTACCATGAAAACTTAAACTGCTAACTGTACAGCATGTTTTCTTAACAGCAGATACTGATTGGTGTGTAATGGTAAGTTACAATAGTGCTGAAGGCAAATCGCCACATATGTTAGTTCAGGCAGGAAATGTACGTTGTGCGCATCACACAGCGGACTATGTCTACACCACATCCTTCTTGCTGCTTTCAGAAACGTGTTACAGGCTTCTGTTGTGGGTGCCGAGTTGTCCATCCAGCCTATCCAATGGCAGAGAGCAGGACCTGTATGTACATTTAGTATGTAAACTATTTTCCTTTCATACAAAAGCACTGTCTATCCACTTCATAGTGTTAAGAATATATCTATAAATATAGTGATGTAGCAGTGGCAAATCTAACTTCCTTATTTCACCCATGACATGGCAGAATAACGACCAAGAGGTACAATTGTCACAGTGTCAAATGCTACTAATGAAGCTTAGCTTTGTTGAGTCTACAAACATTTGCAGGTCAACCACAACTAATCAGGCCAACAATAGCAATAAAAAGCAGGTATATTAATGAACAATATTCATGTTTGGACATGAAAGTTTTGGCAAATCCTGCCTTTTTTAGATCAGCCCTGCACGTTTGGAAACACTGGCATTACAATCATTATGACTTTGACCATTAGGCTGGGACTGACAATATCTCAGCTACAGTACCTTTACAGTGAAGGCATTTAGATGGCATAATAAGTTAGTTGCTGTATAACAAGTGTAACAGACGCTAAAATAATTGTACTCTTCTGGACTACCAACACATAAAGCAACCAAAACTCAGTGGGTCAAAGATCAAAGCAACTATCAGGTTTGTGAGTGACAAGAAACATAAAGAGAGCCTGATCAGGGAAATATAACATTAGGAGCCAAGATCTAGTTCAGGCAGCGAGTTTACAAACAACCCATTACCACTATGTAAGGCAGTAATATCACTGCTCTGTCCGCTCAGATCTCAAACTACTCACAAGAAAAGGAGGAGCTGTAGAAAACACAGCCCGTCAGGTCTTATTGATCAATTTGACTTTTCACTGAAAGACATGCAGGCCATACACATTATTTCTGTCACATTGCTGTTTGGATTATTCTTATCTTTACTTTGATATAAATGCATCTAACCATACACTACAATATGCCATACTGCATGCACTCAATCCCCTACGAGGGAATGCACACCCAAACACTCAAATCACTCCACGTGTATGTGTGTGTGTGTGTGTGTGTGTGTGTGTGTGTGTGTGTGTGTGTGTGTGTGTGTCCTTGCAGAGGAATTCCCTTTCTCCCTGAGCTCTGGGGAAGCGATACCTTGCCCCAGACGGACAAATGGGTCGGAGAGCAACTCAGGACATACATAAACAAACACACACACACACCTGATTGAAGAAAGTAAGCGCAAACTCATCTGTGCGAGTGAGTGTTGAGTCACCCACTCATACACTCAAACACACATATGCACGTTATTTTGGGCTGGAGAAATTTAAATGTAATTTCTCCTTCCCTCTATCTCCTTTATCCATCCATCCATCTTCCAGCTCTGGTGTCAGGTGCCCCACCTACAACCACACCCTTTCTTCTCCAGAGGCAACATGTGATTCCTACAGATGTTTCCCCTAAAGAACACTGCTGACCCATTAAATATACACATGGGCTCATTATCAGCTAATCCACTGCTGTGTTGAACAGCACCTCTTCCATCCTACAGCATATAGACGGTTGTGTCTGAATATTTCACTGTTGCTAGGAGACGTGAAAATCCTTGAACACATCCAGTTGGCTGTTAATACAAGTGGAAAAAACACACAAATCAAGCAAATTGATACAAAAAAAAAACACAAAAGCCCAAAGCACCATGGCATTTTTGTCGGCTGGATATGTTTCTCTGATAACTCATGTCATTTCCTGTAGCGACTCCTACAAAGCTGATGCTGAATCTGTACAGAGTGGAGATGGTAGATGAATGACAGGGAGGGAGAAGAACGCTAAGAAAAGCAAAGTAGATCAAGTTTTCTTAATCAGTATTGCGTGTCAAAAGGCACCCTGTTTGTTTGACATGTAGACCTTTATTTTTGTGTAGATGAAACCAACGAGAACCACAAAATAAGATATGTCGCTACACTTTATTGATGCAGGAAGTGAACACAGCACCGCTGTTGATGAATAGATACAAATGAACAAACTTAAACTTCTAGCCCTCCAGGCAGTTCAATTTTGAGCTTCGTGGCAGAACGTTTCTGGCTCACTTTTCTATTAAAGTAGTAGTACACAATGCTCCTTTTTCAAATCAGACATCCTGACATGTCACAGTAGAGAAAGATGAAAAGATGAAAACAATGCAATTATTGATGGCTGAATTCTATTCAGGGTCCTGTTATTGTCGTGCTGGCTCATTGTGACACTGCCATGGCTTGAATAGAAAAAGCTATAAGGAACACCTGTGCTTTTCGTACTATGACAAGTCAAAATGTCTGCTGTGAAAAAACCCTATCTTATTCTACATTTTACATTTTACAATAACTAGGCAACAGTTTTGATATGGCTGGGAGTGTTTCATGTTGAGTCACATCCCTTGACATCCATGGTCACCTTCTTACTATCCATATCTAAATCTACACCTACAGTATCCTCCTCCACTTCCAGGCTTGCCTCTGTTGCAGTATGTGTTTTCCCACAGAGACTTTTTCTACGGATCTGATTTAATGGCTGCATTCATATGAAAAGTTAAATCCACAGCTACATTATCTAAACAACTTCAACTCATTATTTTTAAAGGAACAGTATATTTACATTTTTCTTGTATCCAACTCAAATATATTTTAATATGCAGGAAATCAGTTGTCAGTTCCATTATTTATTATTCTCCAGAGTATGAGCGCCATGATACTGTTCTTTGTTCCCATCAAATCTCAAGGAGTTGCAAGGCTGTTTTAAACTGATTTGCTTTGAATGAATAGCACACATGAGGAGGTTTACAGGCCTGTCAAGCTAGCTTTCAAAATGGTATTCATTAAAACACAAAAATAATAGAAAACTGAGGAAAACATGAATAAAGGCTGGGAAAGTTTAAATGAGTTACTAGAGAGGACATAGGAGAGGAAGAGAAAAGAAAAGACTACACAGATTAGGGACATGAAGTATGCGATTGGTCTTGTAATCTGAACCTCAAAAGCAGAGACGTGGAAAGAATTGAGAAATGAGAAAACTAAAAAGAGAAAGAGAGATAATTAAAGTGGAAAAAACAGAGAAACAGAAAACAACGAGAGGAAGCAGAGGCGACAAAGATAACCTCCAATCATTCAGTGTGTGTACGCGTGTGTGTGTATGTGAGCGTTTAATCCACCTACCTTGACACTGGAATCCCTGCTTGCCAAAACCCCTGCCGAGAGAACATACACAAAAAAAACAGGATGAACATCGTACAGGCACAGACGTGTGTACGCAACTACACTTCTCTCACACACACACACTCACGCGCACACAGAAAGAACTTGAAAAAGAAATTCGGAAAACCCTTTCACTTCGCCTGAAGATATTTGTGTAGAGGCAAATGTCAAATGCTGTCTGCCATTTGTGTGCAGCGCTAAAGCTTTCCATCCAAAAGAGCACAAATTGAACCACTGAAGTATAGCAGCAAGGACATTGTATTATTGTATGAACAGTACAGTACGTGTGCTGAGGTCAACTTAGGTCCACAGACACACGCACACTCACATGTTCTGTGAGGCAAGGCAAGGCTGCCCTGGGGCGAAAGGGTCAACCACACCCAGTCAATGGTATGGAGAATATGGGATGCCTGCAGGTGAAATTTTCATAGCGTGGCTACAAATAGATAATCTCTCGGGTGTGAAATCACTCAGTCCTCTCATTGTTTTTTTTCATTATGCTTATTGACCCATATAGAGAGCCAGATCGATATATAGAGATATATAGATAGATATATAGAAAGATAGATAATATAAATAGGTCAAGCAATTACACAGGGTGCACAGTGTTCCTCTATTTAGGGGTATTTACAACCAATGATACCATCCCATTTGATTCTCATGAACACACACACAATCTTCTAGGTCAAATCATTTAGCCATTCACAAATTAAAAAGCCCATCACAGGACTTAAATAATGGCCGTTTTGGGAATAGTGCACACCGCGGATAAAAATAAGCAGGACAATTAGGCCAACCTAGAGCCGGAAACTCATTTAATAACCCGAGCGCAGTCACTGTCTAGTAAACCCTGGTGGGCTGTATGGTGACATGTCTGCACAGGTTTTTGAGAGGAGAAATGAAGAGAGGAGGAGGAGGCGCAGGAGAAGGAAGGCTGAAGTTGTGCCAGAGTTTGACCCATGTGAAACACTTCTGTTTGCAGCCCAGGTTTTCCGGCTGGCTGCAATTCACTGCTTTTGGACATGTCTCATGTTTTTCTCAGCCTCTCTCAGCTCCTCTGCCTACTTAATACCATCAAACAATGGTCTGCAGCTCTTCCTTTTTTATTGGTGCGGCCCACATATCTCTCTGTCTTCCCTTCTGCCCTACCTTACACATATTACATCTACATGGCTGAAATCAATGTTTATTTTGATAATACTGTACCAGTGCAACCCTCCCACTTTCTTTATTCCTGCTGTGACTTAATGATGTAATACTATCAAGCATTAGAGTCTACAGCCATTTTGTCTATTTCTGATCAATAGGCCTCATCTCTTCCTCTCTACTTTTCAAATTTAAACTGTTATTAAATCCTGGGCTAAGATGAATTAAACTTCTCCCATTGTCTTCTCCCTTTTTTAGATTGCATCTCTTGGTGCACACTAATGCCTAAACTAATTAGTCTATTTTTTATTTCTACCATAGGTTTTTATATGTCTTTCCCTTATTCTATGACATCCCCAATAAAGGCATAAAACTAACTCAAGTAACTGCTCTCCTGTGAACCCCTCCTTCCATCCCTGTGTCCGCTCCTCACCAGATGAAGTCGGTGCAGTGGCTGCAGAAGGTGGGCTGCTTGAAGAAGCGCGCGATGAATTTGTGGTCCTTCACCTCGTGCACGTTCTTCTGGCGGAGGGCTCCCTGGCGCGCGAAGCCCCGCATGGGCTCGCGGGGTCCGTCCTCCCCGTCGCTGTTGGCCGCCGACGAGTCTGCCATTCTCCGACTAGGCTATCTGTACAACTGTCTTTAATTTAACTTTAACAAACCAACGCAAGTTACTGGTGTCTAAAAGCGTTTCTGGAACTGTAAAAGTCGTTCCTCGTGCGCAGTTCAGGGTAGAGGAGTTCGCTGTGGCGTTGCGACAAGCTGAGGGTTCGATAGTTTGTTTGGGTTTTTGTTATCTTGTCCTTCGGTTGAGTAGACGAGCTGCGCTGCGGTGCTCTCTCCCCGCTTCCTCCTTTTCTTCTGAGCGCTCAGAGAGCCGGTGAGTAGAGAGAGAGAGAGCGAGAGAGAGAGAGAGGGGATAGAGAGAGAGAGCTTTACTTCCTTACTTCTCCTTGACATTTAACACAAGTAGTATTTGGAAAGTCTGAACTGCACAAGGTCATTTATCTTTATGCTCTGACACTTCTAAAAGTGCAGTTTAATTAGTTATTTTAAATTTGACTCAAAATATAACATTGCATTGCAAAGCTGAATGAATACATTTGCCTATTACATTTTTAAACAGGATCTGTAAATATGAATTTATTTCTCATGTCATAAACCTTTTTTGGCAAAGGCAAAGAAAGGCCAAAACAAATTATTTTAATAATAATAATAATTATTGGTGTTATTACTATTGTTGTTGTTGTAAAAGTATTAGATCATTTGTTTTGGAGAACACCTGTGGCAATTTTTGTTTATGGAGTGAGTTTATATTGTCTTATTTAGAGTGGGCAATATGGATTAAATGTTCTACCACTATAGCCTTTAGATTTTATACTGCATATTGATAGGCTTAAAGTAAGAAAATGTTTGGATTGAATTACATGACAGATAATCCTGAAAATTAAATACCTCACAACAAATCAACTTTCTTCACATTACAGCCTCCTAGAAATTAAAAGATAGGTTCACTTTTTTTTCAAGCCTACCTTTAAACAATCTAACATTCCCATGTGCACAATGATATGGTTCTTGGTTGCTGTTATTGTTCCTGTTGTCCACACTGACCTCAAAGAAATCCCTTCTTAATGCAATTTCACATAGGTACAATGGTCAGCATTTTAAAGTTCAGGCAAAGCTACTATGAGGGTAGACAAATTAAGTGGTTATCAGAGTTCCAGTCTTTATAGTAGCCTATGAAATTCCCTCTTTGTGCTCTCATGGTGTTTTTCTTGCCGAGTGGCAACAGAGGGATGGTGACACAAAGAGAATTTTGTACAAAAAAAAGAGTTTAGCTTTGGAAGGTACCCAGTTGGTTTGTCTAACTCAGACTACTAAGGTGTCTCTTCAGCTGATGTTCAAAATTCCTTCACATATAAACCAAAAACAAAAAAATTTGTTTGTGTCTATGTGTGAGACTGTGTGTGTCTGTGTGCATGTGGGTGAATGTGTCTGTATGTGTGTGTGTACATGTGTGTGCGCATAAGCCTGTTAAAGAATGTAGTTGTTAGTGAGAGTGGCCACAGTTATTCCAGCAACAGGCAGGCAAGAACCCCAGTAGCCAATAGGGGTGGGAGAAAGAAAAAAAAAGAAAAAAATCAGTCAAAAAAACAAAGACTCCCAGATGCACCGTGATGCAAACGCAGAAGACCCCGACCCAAATGCCAGTTGACAACGTAATGCCGACGGAACGCAAGAAGCGTAACCCGTGGAAGAGCAGCGCCCGGGCCGACCTCGGCGCGCACACAACATAGACTAGTGCCCCCCCCCCCCCACCCAGCACCCCACCGCCGCGCAGCGAACAACCAAAACGCCCAAATGCCACGCAATCATCAACACCAATGCACAAGTGACGAGCCCAACGCGCACACTGTGCGAGCACGGCAACACTCAATGCCCAGCAGCCCCCCGCAAATCCCGTGTGCGAGGTCGGGCAAACGAGAGAGAGCAAGCGGAATAACACGACAGCGAAAGCCAGCAGAGAGAAACACCAGCAGCAAGTCCCAGCCATGCCCAGCATGCCCCCCCGGCCGCCGTGCAACACCAGCCAAACCAGCAACAAGGCAAAATCAACCAGCTCAGCTGCATGCCACCACCAACCCACCCACCCGTCAAGGGCCGAGAACTCCAGGCACAACATGGGTGCATCTGCTGACTCCCTAGGGCTGAGGGGCTGTTGCTGCTGTCACGGGGTGATTGCTGTCTCTTTTCTTTGGGGATGGTGGGGATGTGTGTGTGGGACGCTTCGCTGTTAGGGAGGGAAGAGCGCGGGGGTGGGGATCTTCTGGCCTGAACTGCCCTGAGTGACATTGCCTCCTGGGTGTGGGCGGACCTTTGGGTCTGGGCCGTTGGGCCATTATGTCCTTGGGCGGGGTCCTTGCTGCTCCGGACCTGCTCCCTTGTGTGTGTGTGTGTGTGGGGGGGGGTTGTGCCAGCTCCGATGGCCTGGTGGTGCTCGGAGTGCTCCTGATTGTGTGGGAGCGGTGAGGTGGGGGGGTGGCAGTGGGGCTGCCGGAGGGGCCCCGGCCAGGACGGGGGATTGTTGGACTTTGGGTTGGGCTTGCACTGACCTGCCTCGGGGGTGTGTGGGGGTCTGGGGCTCGGGGCTTTGGAGCCTCTGGGTCTGGGGTGGGTCTGCGCACTGGGGGGGCTGGGCCCCCCTGGACCTACCCTGGGGCTGGGCGGGGTTGTTGCTGACTCTGGGGTGCTCCCGGTGCAGCCCAGGGCTCTTGCTATAAGCCCTGGGCTGGAGGGACCTGGCTGATGGGGCCAGTCAGGAATCTGGTCCCAGTGAGGAGGACCATTCTAGCCTCCCTATGACCTCCTTCACCTTCCCCCCTTTGGTCATGTCTCACAACATACACCCTTAGGACTCTGGGGGGCGGGCAGGCTGCAGGGCATTTGGTGGGAGGGGCTGCTTTATTGCGGCCTCGCCCTTCTTCCTCCCACACTGGCCGCCCCTCAATTTTAATTACATATTAGACACAGAGGGCTTGGGGGGTAGGAGGGGCACCATGGGAGGCTCCACTACCTGACAGTTGTGGGGTGCCTGTGTCACAACTACCCTCCAATTTTAACTGCACCTTAGTTACCACACACCTTATCTTTACTCCACCATACAACACTTCACAATCCATGACATGCATCCAACACAAAACAATACATTTACAGAGGCAGACAGAGGGGTTGAAGGAGTGGGGGAGATTCTCATTGGCCTCGTGCCCTGCCCATGGAGCCCCGGGTGTCGGGGGTGCTGTGGGGTTGGTGACGGCCTTGCCTGATCTGGGGTGGGCTGGGGGGGTCGGGGCTCCCCTGGCATGGGGGCCCACTCTTGACCTAGGGATCTGGGGACTCGGGCTTGTGGCTTTTGCTCATTTCTGGGTGGGTGGTGTGCCCCTGGGCCTGGGGGCCCGTTGTCTCCTCTCCTCGCCTGGGCTCTCTTCGGCAGGGGTGGGGCTCCCGCTGCTTCCCCCGGCCAGCTCTCTCACAGTGGGGGCATTCGGGAGTCTCTGGGGCGCATGGCCGGTGTTGTCAGGGTAGGTTTTGTTGCTCCTCCTTGGGGGTGCTTGACTGGGGGTGCTGGGATGAGATCGGCCTTGGGGGCTGCTGGCACTGCCTGCACTCTGGGGAGGGATGCCTCTGGCTGGGCTGGGGGACCGTTGGCCTGGTTCTCCCGCGTTATCGCTCCCTGGCCGCAGGGAGCTTCCCGGCACGGCTTTCTGCTGTTCTTACTTGGGGCGGGGTACAGCTTCCCCCGGGACATGCGGTCTGGGGTCCTTTGCGCTTTGGGGGGTCGCGGGGTGCCCTGGCTTCTGGGGGTGGGGGTCTCTGCTCGGGTTGATCCGGTTGCGGTTTGGAGGGCTGCGGTGGGATTGTGGGACGATTGTTGATGCATCTTGATGCATTGTGCTTTTTCCCTGGGCAGGGTCTCTGAATGGCTGCTAGGCGTTTAGTTTGTGCATTGGAGTCCGGGGGAGGCATTTCCTCGTTGGCTGGGAGGGACCAGTTTGCGTCCCTGTTTTGCTTCGTTGGCCTCGGATCCATGCGTCCCCATTTCTCTGTCGGCCGGTTGTTGGACCCCTCTGGATACTGAGGCATATAGTTAGTTTTTGGGATGTGCAGTGTGGGTGCGGGGCAGGGCTGTGCTCCGGTTTGTTCTACTCATTGATTTGTAATGTTGTCCTCACCAGCAACGCTTCCTTCACATGAAACTTGTGAGTTCATTGAGTTCATATTTTTAACATTGGAAGTTGAGAACTGGTTGTGGCATTCAAGTTATAAAACCTGTGACAAAATAAGACCTTAAGATTTTTGAAGGCCTTGTCAAAGACCTCCAGACCTCCAGACACACTCCAGTTGCATTACACCAAAGAACTCCTGCTGCAACTTTTGTCAAGGCCATCAGTCTGAAAACCCATTTAAAATGTGTTTGAAATGTCTTTTATACTCTCAGACTGCCCACGTGTATGTGTAAGATGTTACATTTTAAGGTTCACTTTTATCTGGAGCAACAGATAACAATATATGGAACAGCAGAATAAACGTCATTTCTTATATTTGCAATATATACAGCCAATAGTAAACACAAAGAATGACTTTCAATATTTGAAACTGCTCATTTCCAAAAAAGAGATATGTTTCATTTGGGGACAAACACAGACTCTCTTCCCTTAAAGTCTGAGTGCTGGCACTGAAAGCAAGCACAGTTGCTGAGTTCTGACTCATCTTAAGACTTTTGCTTTCAAAGGGATTTTGGAGGATCATCATCTGCGATTGTTGGATGAATTTCATGTCACCAAGTTTTCCAAGATGCATTTAAGGTATTAAATGATACGACTTCCTGAGTCATTTGATCAGTGAATACGATGCTTCATAGAAAGAGCCAAGAAACCTCTTTAACCACCTGCATCTCTCAGAATAGTAAATGCAGTGGGGTGAATATATGAGGCGTGATGACAGTGATGCAGGGACAGGGGTGAATGATGGTGTCATTGTTAGTGCGAAGCTCAACATTACTGCTCACAGAAACTAAACGGCTACGTATCCTCCACATAGGCCCTACATACAGCGAAACTTAAAAGCACTACATATTAACAACAGACATAGTAGTAAGATTGATTTCCCACCTGTTTCAAGGCCACAGAATCTAATTTCAGGACAGTGACAACCATAGTCCCAACTGGTCCATGTTGTACACCCCCCCACCCCCCCCCGACACACACACACACACACACACACACACACATCGTGGCAGTCAACTGGAAGTGAATGACCTAGATGGGATTGATTTAGTCGCAGAACAGATAACAGTGTGTGCAGTTCTCACT